GTGTCCTCAGACACTAAACAAGCACAACCAGACGAAGAAGAAGAGCACGAGACCTCCACTGACTCACAGGACACGGAGGGGCAGTCAGATGAAGGTGAGAAAAAAATTGTTGAAGATAAAAGTAAAACAAATGCAGGAGACCATGAAGAAACAGACACACAACAGCATCTGAATTCAGCAAACTCTGAGCAACCTCATAGCCCAAGAACCAAACCAGACCACAGCAACACTGATGCTGGTCCAGTGTCCTCAGACACTAAACAAGCACAACCAGACGAAGAAGAAGAGCACGAGACCTCCACTGACTCACAGGACACGGAGGGGCAGTCAGATGAAGGTGAGAAAAAAATTGTTGAAGATAAAAGTAAAACAAATGCAGGAGACCATGAAGAAACAGACACACAACAGCATCTGAATTCAGCAAACTCTGAGCAACCTCATAGCCCAAGAACCAAACCAGACCACAGCAACACTGATGCTGGTCCAGTGTCCTCAGACACTAAACAAGCACAACCAGACGAAGAAGAAGAGCACGAGACCTCCACTGACTCACAGGACACGGAGGGGCAGTCAGATGAAGGCGAGAAAAAAATTGTTGAAGATAAAAGTAAAACAAATGCAGGAGACCATGAAGAAACAGACACACAACAGCATCTGAATTCAGCAAACTCTGAGCAACCTCATAGCCCAAGAACCAAACTAGACCACAGCAACACTGATGCTGGTCCAGTGTCCTCAGACACTAAACAAGCACAACCAGACGAAGAAGAAGAGCACGAGACCTCCACTGACTCACAGGACACGGAGGGGCAGTCAGATGAAGGCGAGAAAAAAATTGTTGAAGATAAAAGTAAAACAAATGCAGGAGACCATGAAGAAACAGACACACAACAGCATCTGAATTCAGCAAACTCTGAGCAACCTCATAGCCCAAGAACCAAACTAGACCACAGCAACACTGATGCTGGTCCAGTGTCCTCAGACACTAAACAAGCACAACCAGACGAAGAAGAAGAGCACGAGACCTCCACTGACTCACAGGACACGGAGGGGCAGTCAGATGAAGGCGAGGACAAAACTGTTGAAGATCGAAATGAGGCCTAGTGTGGCTCTCAGGGAGAAAGGCAATGACAGATGCAGTGAGGATAAAGCAGGACAAAAGGAACATGAAGGTGTGTCGTTGGCTTTTATGCAACTTGGAGAACATGGTGAGATTTACGAAGGAAGCAGATGGTGAAAGTGAAGCTTTAAATAAAACAGGGCAAGAATAAGTCAACTCAACACAAATGCTGTCATTGAAACCAGCAAAACAAGAATTTAAACTAGAAGGCTGAAAACACACACAGAGCAGAGATCACATCTTTACACGAAGCCACAGAGAGTCTCAGCTCAGAGTGAGATGAACCTGAAAGGAAGCGACGAGGACCAGAAACTCCAACAAGAAAAGGATTGTTTTCCCTTAAGATTTTTAAATCATATTCATGGTATATGCCTGAATAATAGCTCAAATGTTTTTTTTATGTTTTTATACTGAACTAAGCAATAACAAATATGAATGTATGTCTAACTTATCAAATTAAAAGCATTAGTCTGTCATTTTGTGATCTTATCAAAAGGAAGGCTTTTTTAAATTTATATTTCAGTTCTCCAATATTACAAACAGGACCTTCACATTGGGACAGGAAGAACTAGATCTATTGTAAGCCGAGTTTTCCTCCAGTGAACTTTTTTATATTTATATTTATCAATAAACAAAATGCCCTCTGGTGATTCTGTATTCACACGACAATATACAAGGAACACACTTTTCTATCTACAATCGAAGTAATGGATCATTGTGACATGTATGTTCTCCTGTGTATTTTAAAATGTTGTATGCTCTCCTTTATTTTGGATTAACACCAGATTGTTTATGTTAATATATTATTACAAGAGATATTATTTGAAATATTCTCAATGTATAACCTTTTTTTTTGGTTCATCTTTAGTTTTATGTGATTCCGGTGAATGACACTACAGCTGTAACGCTTTTGTATTTTCTTTTTCTTGCAGCATTGTTTGCTGATGATGGATGTTTTGAAAATGTTTTATTGCACTGATTTATATAAGAAATTCTAGTGTGAGCAGCCATGGGCGTAACCATGGTTTAGACATAGGGGGGGTGGCTTTCATGGTGCTTTTCGTGTGGCTTTGCTTCGCCGGCCGCGCTGCCCCGCTGAGCGAAGCGAGGAGCACTCAGAGAGACGCTGAGGCCCGTCGGTCCCGGTGCGTTTTTCTTGACAAACGGAAATAAATTGAAAAAAAATAAGACATAACAAGAGACCGATCCATTGACACGCTTCCTAAAAGGAGAACGTATGTTTTACATATTTTCTGCTATATATTGTGTGAAACAGATAGGTATTTTCTCAATATTGTGGGTACACAACCCCCCCAAAGAATGCGTGGTTACGCCCGTGTGAGCAGCTTATTTCCAGTTTCTTGTCCTTTTGTTAGACGATGAAAACAGATCATTTCCCAGAAAATATTGCAGATTGATTGCTAAACTGAAATGAAATAAAAGAGAATATTACAGACTGATGTTTTTGACAGCATTGAAAGGGCAAATCTGTAACCAATGCACAAAGAAACACTGACACTGATATCTGTAGGAGATGTAAGAATGTGTTGTATCAGCAGGGGACAGCGTTTATTTGCTCTTACTCGTCGTCATGAACTGATTAGACATCAGAAATAAGTTTTTATAACCCTCTTAGCATTGAAACGCTTGGAGAATATTCTCAGCTATAAAGGAAAGTTTAAGTAATACACAGTTGACAAATATCCTGGTTAGTTGTGGCCCGACAGCAATTAATTGTTGCAGTTCTGCATAATTAAAGGTGAATTTAGTGAAAAGCTGCCACAGGTGCATGATTAGTTTAACCTCTGAGTCACATTGAAGTCTGTGATCGGCTACCACCTGACCTGTGGGTTCACGGCACAAGCAGAGAATGAACACTATCATATTTCTGTGGTCATAACGAATACCGAGGGGATGTCGGAGTATTAATTATCTGTAGGGATCGAAGGCTCTGCCTCCTCTGACGGTGAAGCCTGTTGAACTCACCCATATGTAACAATCTGTGGACTTTACCCTGTCGAGAAGGAAGGTGGTCCACCTGATTCACCCGTTTCACCTGAATCATTAACACCTGCTACCAAGAGAAAGTAAATGTAAAACGCGGCTGCACAAGATCTTTTTGTGCATTTTCCCAGAAATGGCTGCCTGGTATTTTCTCATCTATTTCCTCGCCATTCCCTCGTGTCTGGGTGAGTTTACGTGTCGGTTAAAGTTAACATTTATACTTTTGGGTTCGAAATGAAAAGTAGTTTTCAGTGTTGTGACTTGTTCTGGTATAAATATAATATCCTTCTGAAAACAATCCACTTGGAATGCAGTGATAGTCTGAGCACCAGGAGAATACCTGATACACGTAATCCTTTGACTACACACCTGTAGTTACACCTGTGCTGTAAAATGATCATTACGGTGGCTGCAGTTTGTGTGCTTTTATGTTGGATTGAATTATTGGTTTGACCGACAAGGAAATGGCTCAGATTGCATTGTGTTATTTTAGTTATGTCGCGACGTGATGCTACATTGAGCTGAATTGTAATCTGTTAATCGTGGTCCTTGTTCTTTCTTTACATTACAATACATGTCATTTATCTGACGCTTTTATACAAAGCAATTTATATTTCATAATATAAAGCGCAGTTAAGAGTTGGGTGTCTTTCCGTTTATTGCAAAGAAAAGCAAGAAAGTCACGATTGAGAAGCCGGAACAAGAGAATATTTCACAATGTTGCTCAAAGACAACCACAATCAATCAACAGAAATATTTTGAATCTCCTTTTTTTCTTTAAAACAAATCCCTTTGTCTTTAAATCAGTGATCACGGTGATAACAAAATGCACCATTAACATGTATTCATGTTAGAGAATATTAGAAAGAGCTCTTCATGATGCTCTGCAGTACAAAGCTAACAGTGACGACTCTCAGAGGTGATCGTACATTTAAATCAACACCTTTTCAACACAGTGTGAGCAAATACTGAACATTTAGGATTGATACAAATAGGATTCATCGCTGATTTATTTGTATTGGATTATATTAGATTGTGCAGATGTTCACCTATTAACTCAGTGTCCAGGTCGGTTGAGTTTCCATCACACACTTCAATGTTACAAATAATGCTGCATGTTTCTATACGTCTCTGTTCTCTGTGTCTAGTTTCTGGACAGTCTTCAACATTTGGTCTCAAAGGGGGAAAAGTCTTCTTGAAGCCAGACATCACTGGACATCCTGATGGAATTCTGTGGAAATTTAAAGGCAACAAAGTGGTAGAGTTTGAAGGCCAACAGCAACAGGTGTTCAGGCCATATGAAAACAGGATCACTCTTAACTGGGTCACTGCAGAACTCAATATCGCTGACCTCAGATTGGAAGACAGCGGAGACTACGTACTGGAAGTAGAGATCAATAACGTATTGAATAATTCCTATTATGCACTGGAGGTCATGGGTACGTTTGCAAAAGCAAAGTGGTTAAATGCAGTTATCTGATAACAAAGGTATCTGCATTATACAACTAGAAACTTGATGCGTTGCCACAGCAATGCATGCCGTTAAAAGACCAAACAAACATACATTTCAGTTTCTTTTTTACAACTTCTCTTTGACACTGATCAACAAAAAACAATAAAACAGTTCCTTGCCTGCAATGAGAGACACTGTGAATGCAACAAATGTGCAGGCTGAAAAGAAGAAGCTAAAACTGGAGCATTCTGAATATCACTGCAGTAACGATAAACACTGTTAGCTTTGGAGGCCAAAGAGGAAATAAATGCTGCAAGCGACAGAGAAATCTAAAGGGACAAAAACTGCTGCAGCTGACAAGAAAAACACAACTATCTATTTATTTTTGAAGAAGTCCAGTACAGCAAAACAAAGGGGAGTTGGTGAGGTCAGCACAGTAAGGCAAGGCAAGTTTATTTATAAGGGACATTTTAACAGCTAGGCTATTCAAAGTGCTTTACATTAAACCAAACCTCATATACACACACTTTTACTCCCAGTCAAATATTAACCTGTAGGTTAAAAAATACATGTTATCCACAATCTAGATCTTTTTGACCTATGCTTCATTTATTTTCACATTTAAGAGTATATTATTTCTGTTGATCAACTTGAGAAAAGCTTTTAAATCACTAGTATGAAACAATGTGCGTGGGCAAAATATAAACCTTTATAATGTTTCATTTTTTGAAATATGTACAGTACCAGTCAGGTTTGGACATATTTTCTCATTGAATTGAATTAGAAAAAATAAACAAACTTTTGACTGTAAATTGTCAGCAGTTGTTAGTAAATCATACAGCAGTGCAGAAGCTGACTTGACTGATGAGACATGCCTGACAACACACACCCAACAATATCACAGAGATCCACATATCAATTCTACTGTTATCTCGTAATATGTTACCCATGTTTATTGTCATATTTGCTTATTCTTTTATTACAAGTTCAGACTTTACTCCCATGAAAATATTGTTGAAGTCAATATACACTTGTGTTCATTGTGAAAGTAGCAATTCCTGTGAATTTATATATCAGGATGAAGTCAGTGAGTAGTTGGCATTGGTGTCCTGTCTTCTGCCAACAGTCAGTGTCGTCTTGACACTCTTTTCCTAATTAAACTCCAACTAGTTGGAATCATGTTTGATGTTTTCCTATTATTAAACCTGATACTTCAACTTATTCATACATTTAGACCATAGAAGCAGAGGAACAGATAATCGTTTATTCATTAACTTATGATTTAACTCTGTGTTTATCGATGTATTCATTAAGACAAAGTCAGCAGACCCACCATTTCCTGTAAGATGAACGACGGCGGCAGCTTGAACGTATCCGGAGAGCTGGTTTGCTCTGCAGAGCCTCAACCCTCACTGAAGTTTGAGTGGGGAGCTCGTGGAAACGTGCAGCTCGGCCCACAGCTGCAAATACCTCTGGGGGATGAACATGATGATGAAGTGTACAGTTGTAGTGTGAGCAACCAGCTGAGCAAGGAAACAACTACATTCACTGCAAAGGATTGTTACCCAGGTAAGATTTCAGCTGGACTCAATTTTAAAGTCGCCCACCATTCCAGATGTTTAAATAGACACTTTAGACTTTAGAGTTTATTCCATACCAGTGGTTACAGGGGAAAAAGATGAGACAGGAAAAGGAGTAGAAGTGTTTCCTTCACCTCATCAATGATATTAATATGAATAACCTAAGTATTGTATTAATAGATCTTTTTTCAGCTTCAACGTGAATATACAGAATGAACAAGAGAGAAGATGTTGAGATTCTAGAATAATATGTCCAGTTTTACAGTACTGCTTGAATGTTGTTGGTACTGAATGTAATGTAATGCAAAGCTGCTTTAAATATAAACTTTGTGTTCTGTGCAGAAGGAAGTTCGTCTGCAGTACCGATCACCATTGCAGTCATCATTGTTCTTGTGTTGCTCCTCGGGTGTGTGGCCATACATTGTTTAAACGACACAATAAAGGTAACAAATCTGA